GTAGATTTCGCGTAGGCTTCGCGTAGGCATTTCGTAGGCATGACTTCAACTGGCGGGCGGGGCCCTTCAGGGCTGGCCTTCTTTTGTAGCCCCTTCTGCTTTGTCGATGGAGGTGCCACAGTGGACCCCGTGGCACGTGTACAAACAATGTTCACAACGCTTGCACTGGCAAGTTGCAATCGTGCGCTGCCCTAAATCTGTTGAGTCAACTTGGTCTCGCATGCGCGTTTTGGAAGTGGTCAAGTTTGGCGTAGCAAGCGTCAAATGAGAAGGCCTCCCGCAACCAAGAAAACACTGCCCAGTTGTCGCTTTCTGTTGAAAAAGAGAGGCCCGTCTGGGGATGTGGCTTTTACTTACGGGCAGAAGGCGTTCATTTTCTTGGGGCCATGCTTTTTTCCTCGACGTTGCATAATTACCAGCATGACCCTTTCCTTCAAACTGAACGAGTAAAGCTTGAAGAGAGTGCGTGACGGTTTTATGGCTAGTAGTTATGCAAGCGTTTGGTTGCAGCAAGAAACGCGAATATCAGGGACCCTTTGGGTTGGTAAGTTTTGAAAGCTTTGGTGGTCCCCAAGCACATACCCAAATGGAGGAAGGTCTACCTGTTGTTTTGGGAAGGTACCTTGACCTGGTTGTTGAAAAGCAGAACCAAAGGAGCACCGTCCAGGTGGTACTGGCCATCGTGGGGCGCGAAGGGAAACGAACGGAAAACCACCAATGTTCGTAGGTTCCCCACCTGAATGTTTAGGCAAGCCCCTGAAGACCTGAGAGACAAAGCTACCCATTGTGGCGGTGTCCTTACCTTTGATGCAAAGCCATATTTCTCCTTTTAAGCCATGTATCATTGAGGTTTCTCTTGGGGTGTTGCTTGAGTCATAAGGGCGAATATTAGGAACCCGGTTTGGGAAGCCCGTTTTGAGACAAGCTGACGTCTTGTTTCGGCTGGTAGTGAACCTAAAGGAAGCCAACCAGTCAGTGGTTTCCTAAGGGCATGGCCCAAGACATGACCAAATGGCCCAAATGGAAGAAGCTTCGGCTGTTCTTGTTGGTGTTTGGTTTGCCCAAAGAAACTCGATGGGACATACTACGGGTGGATTGGGGGTAGAAACCATCTTAGAATCAACGCCGAGTAGTTTCTGCTACGGAAGCTAACAGCCCAGGAATAAGATTCACCTGGCAAGCAGGTGATATGTCCTGTTTGCCTGCTTTCGTGAAGGACATGTTGGCTCCAACTCCATTTGGCCATGATTTTCAATGGGGAACCCCACCTCAGGAGTGGTTGGTGGACATGAATCCCCACCTAATCTCCGCCAAAGGGTCCCTCATTCATTCATTTGCGCCCGTCGTGTTGGTCCCGAGGCAACGTGGGGGTGCGGTCCAGCTGTAGCAACTGGTGCAACATCCGGGACGCAGGCGCAACACCCGGAGAGAGACTTCGGGGACACCCAGCAAACTAACCGGTGGTAGTAGCAAGTGTGGTGGTGGTTTGGTTTGTTTGAGCTTGTTTTGTTTCTTAGTTTTTGCAAGGGCAGTGCGTTTCATTGTTGTGTGATGTTTTGCTGTGAAACACCTTGACAGCATGCGTGCCAAACTGGGCGGCCCGACCCTCTTCCAATGGGTTTAGCTGCTGTTTTCTTGTTTCGCTAGCAGTCGTTCCTGGCGTGGAGGCCTTTTGCTTGAGTCAAATGAGGAGCCCCAAAATGGGTAGGGGTTCCCTTTGATTCGTTTTAAACCAGCCCAACAAGCGACCCACTCCCAAAGCGGCACGTGATCTCCACGTCGCTCGCCAGGCGCGGGCCATGTGCCCACCAGCTCCACGGGGAGTGAGGCGCGGTCCAAGCCTTTGGCTTACTGCGAAAGAAGCACAGAGAGGTTGGTCCTGGTTTGAGCCTTCAGCCCTTCTTTGACAACCTTTTGGCTGGGGCCCTCAAGGGCAATTACATCAAGTTCTGGTCGCCGGTGTGCTCGTCCGGGGGCTGGAAGCAGCCCAGTGGTGAGGTGGTGGACGCTTACTTCTGGCTGAAGACCCCCGGCGAGTCCGATGGGTGCAGTGCCACGCTGCCAGATGGCCGGAGCTGCCCGCGCTTCGACCAGGCGGGAGCGAGGAGTACAGGGCGGCTCGTGTATCGAGAGTTGGGGACCCTAAGAAGCATGGTCATGAATGTCGGGTCCCCAACTGACAGGGATTATTTGGTGAGTAGCCCCCAAATCCGCATGGGTAGTTTGGTGAGTGTGACCCACGTCATCCTGCCTGCTGCAGTACATGATGCTAAATCTTGACCATGGCTCACCCCAAAAAGGAGTTGGATGGAAGTCCATCAGCTGCAGCTGCACTGCGGCATGCATTATTTTCTTTTGTGTGTGTGTCTGTGCGCGTGTGTGCGTGTGAGTGTGACGGCATTGACCCATGTCCTAAGCTGAGGCGGCATCGATGTCGTGCAACCTAACGTAGAATATGAAATCCCGCCAACGGCCATGACCAGCAGAGGCCATGTTTTTGACTTGGGAGGTGTTTTTACATGTGCACTTCGGCCGGTGGCTTTAGACGAGAGTCCTAAAAAACATCACAAGATGTACACACTACCCCACTCAGCTGTACCTCCAAAGCAAGAAAGACTTTGGACATGGGAATTCCCTTGTGGCACGCTGCATGCCCTGCTGAAAGTAAACCAAGGGTTCTCAACCACAATTGGCACATGAAATTCGAGGGTTGCAATATTTAGGGCATCCACCGTACCTCCCAGGTCCAAAAGTGTTCTATCCGACCACCTTCCCCATTCCATTAGGGCAGGTGGCATGGGGCTGGTGCATGGAATATAGCAAGAGGGTTTGGGAGAATCCTAAACCCGTATGAGGTTGGTCTTAAGTTCTAATCTGCGGGATTGCCTTGTTTCGGGTGCCACCTTTTGTGATACTGTTGGGGAATCAACCCCCTTCAAGCTGCTTTGGTTTTTAACCTTGAGAGTCAAGCGTCGCAGAAGGTGCAACCTGGCCGACAGAGGTGATGCTGCTCCTCTTAAGGCTATCACTTGAGCAGCCCCCAAGACTGATGAATGGCCAATCTAGTAGCTGGTTCACCTGGTTTGATAGTGAGCCAGTAAGGCTTCGGCTTATGACAGGCTTATGTAAACCTTTCACCATCCTAGAAGCGAAAGTCAGCTTGGGCGCAGTTTGTGGTCCTTCAGGACTGCGCCTCCCCCGACAGCATCGGCAGCCGCCACTGGGAGCCGGCGGCGCCGGAAGCCGGGGCAGCTCGACGCATTCGAGATGGGATGGGGAGGTTGACGTTGAAAGGTGGAGTTGTTTCGTATTATATATATATATAGTTGGACTTCATATTGTTCGCTTTTCATTTGTATCAGAGCTCGAATGGAGTTTAAAATTGGGATACGAAACTTTCTCGTTTGCTCGTACACAAGTACGAGATTGCCCGTTTACCTCTGTCCGAGGTGGACGAGTGGACGCCTCCTGTCACTCCAAAGCCCAGTCGGTGCATCAACCTTTTGACCTTGCGATATAAGCCATGGCCAACCACTTTGGGTCTCGGCGTTTGGGTTTGGGCGTGCTTGAATGTTTTGGGTTGCCCCCATTTCGTCAGGAATCCATTGGGTCCCCAACCTTGAGGCGTTTTTTTCGCGCTGAGCCCGAGGAGTGGTTCGACTACCAGGCCAGGCAGCTGGCTGAGAATGCTCGGTTCCACTGAGCGCAACGCCTGAGCCAGCGATGCGAGGGATCATTCCATACCCGCTGTGAATGATGCAATTTATGAGACGTCAAGGTGCGTCCAACTCAAATTCGGCCTTGCCTGGCGCACCGTTTTGCGCAGAAAAGGGCATTTTGAGCAACAAATGCAGGCCGGGACCCCGCACAGTTTTCGGCAGTGATTTGTTTCTCCCGTTTTCTGTTGCTCTTCTCCTTTCAATTTCAATAGAAGCCAGCAGAGTGACCCGTTTTGATCCATAGCCACAACTGGCGGGGAGTTGCACGTGTTTTTCCTGGGCCTCTCAATCTTGGTGCAGGTAACCGCCTGCAAAGCGAGCCGAAGCGCTCCCACATCAGGTCCCGCAACTGGCAATCGCCGTTGTTTCTGCCGACTTCCACTTGCTTAAGGTTTGTTTTGCCAAGTACCTTCTTGGCTTTGCAGGGATTGCGATTTGATATTTGAAGGGTGACGTTCTGTTTTTCCTGTTCGGTAAAGAAACCTGGCAAGGAAGCATGTTTTAGGCAGTGGAAGCCAAAGCGGTAACGGGCAGGAAAGGAGTGCCAGAGAGCTACCTGCATGGCCGAACTAGAAAAGTGCTGCGTGGGTTCAGCCAAGGATAAACACGGCCTTACAGTTGGGCTCACCCTTTGATAAAGGGAATTGTGCAATCTCTGTTTTTACCTTAGCGTATTCAGGGTTCAACAGGTGATAGAACCCCCATAGGCCCCTTGGGTCTATAAGATGGCCTTTGGAGCAGCCCTGACAAGGGAAAAGTTTCTTCAGGTTTCGACGGTGCCTGTGAGCTACAACCCCTCTGTCACGCAGGGCCCCCACTATCGTTTGAGGTAAAATTACTGGATCCCCCAACATGTCCTTTGTAACCTTGGCGGGGGCAATAAACAACGGAGTTCGAGCAATCTTTGCATCTACTCTGTGCACCACCCAGTGATCCTGCTGATGCTGATGGATGTTATTTGCCTTCGGGCGAGGTCACGGAACCGAGCCTAACATGGACGAAGAGCTGTTGTCGAAGGACGGTCTCTGCTTTTGTTCGCGCTTCAAGTTTCATTTTGTGTGGCTTTATGCGATGTTTATTGGATGATCATTTGCGTTCTCTGCCCTCGTTGATGATTTTTTGGTTTTAGTTTGCCACAAGTCGTATCTCATAGTCTAGGATGATGAATCTGAGGGTGACCTTGTGGTGGATTCCCACACACAGGGACGTAGTACACACTTTTTGCACAGTTTTTGCACAGTACAGTGAGGTAGTACTCACACCCAGCCGCTTGCTTCGCAGGCAATGCCCAAGAACGCGCAGGGCAAGTTGGAGGATGCCGCCGCAAGGCCTAGAAATTGTTTGGGCAATCGCCCGGTTTGGTGATGCCCCCCCGCCCTCAACCCCCCCCCCGCCCTCAACCCCCCACCCTCAACCCCTGCTCAACCCCCCCCAACCCCCCCCCTCAACCCCCCCCCTCAACCCCCCCCTCAACCGCCCCCCTCAACCCCCCTCTCAACCCCCGCTCAACCCCCCTCTCGACCCCCTCCACCATTGTGACGTGTGCCCATATTTACCATCATGTTGGTCAGGGAAATGACGGTAGGGTACCCTCAATTAAGAGGACATGGAGGTGGCTCACCGTAGCCCTTTATGACAACCCGCATGTTGACACTGGCAAAATCGGTGTGTGTGTGTGTGTGGGTGCGTGGGTGTGTGTGTGTGGGTGTGTGTGGGTGGTCTGTTTTGAGTTTTTGTTTTTGTGTTTTGTTTGATTCAAACCGAAGCCCGAGCTTCTGAGAATTCCGCCGGCTTTTGAACATGTTAATGTTCAATAAGAGGCTGGATGCCAACAGCTATTGTGTTGTTCCATTTCTAGTCAACCTTTTAAAATAAAAAATGTTGAGTGTAATCTTGTGGGCTCACGTAGTATGTTGGGCCGTCTTTGTTTGGGGCACCCGTTCGGGCTTGCATGAAAGGGACACCAAGGGGAAACCACTATTTGTTTGATCTGGATTTTTTGGGGGACATCGAAAGAAACACTAAAATGCGTGTCAGTGTTGTTTGATGTTTTAGTGCGTTTCCTTTGGCCAAAAAGCAGAAAGCACATCGACCATCCGTCCTTTGGGCTACACTGGTTGCACCCAGGGTGTCATGAGTCATGAGGGGTTATCAGCCACATGTTTTGTTTATTATTCTTCTGTTTTTTCTTTTCCCCCGCTGGTTGGCGAACAGCGATATGGTTTGTTTCGACCTGTTTGATCTACCTTTTTGTTAGCCCGGCCGGCAATACATACCGATACCCATAACAATGTAGAGGCAGGGGCTGGCCCCATATCCATGACAGGTCCATGGGACATGTCCCCTGGGTCGGCAAAATTGCAGTACTGTACCCCATTGGGCTGGGGTAGATACCAGAATGTGTACCATTACAAGGTGTGCTGGCAAACCGAACAATGGAAAGGGGGCCCCTGTTTTTCCAAGCCCCTCCATGTTGCCTTCAGGTTGACGGGTCCCAAAAGCAAGAGGGTCGAGCAAGCAGGCAGATGGAAACGCTGGAAGACTGTTTCCATGAACGGGGCAGGTACGTCCTGCACCGTTTGTTTGTGCAGCGCCATGCTATGTACATCAAGGCTGGCAGTGAGCGCTTCCCCAGACCACCAGTGCCCTTCTTCCATCATTTTTGTTTGGGGGGTTCCCTTCAAAATCAGGGCTGGTCTTTGGTGTGACCGCGCCTTAGACCTTTTGGAGATGCGTACAGATTGCAAGGACCTTAGAGCCTTCATTTTGGAAGCAAGTTGCTCCATGAAACCAAGGGGTAGACCTCGTGCGTAGGGGACTTGGAGCAACTCGAAGTTCAAGTACCAAAACTTGGCGTGTGCCTTTTTCTTTTCTTCCCATGGCCACGCCAAGTCGAGGTCTTGGTGGCTCATTTTCTTGGTGCGGGTGTAACCCGGTTACCCTTCGCCTTTGCTTCGAACCCCTGGGCGGGCATGTTTCATGCTTGGCCTGTGGGTCGGTCAAACACTGTGGACAACACTCCTGCACCAGTTGGGATGCATGAAACCCTTTGAATCCCATGATTTCTGGTTGATAAACCATCCAGGATGGCGAGTTTCGGAAGCTGCGGATCCACCCTGAGCCTCTGGCGTCACCTTCTGGGTCCAGTTTCAGTGAGGTGCCCTTGCTTTCGTGTTTTGTTTGTTTCGGGGAGGTGATGTTTAAGGGAAAATGAATAGTTTGAGGATCGCTTGAGTCTGGGTTGTGGTTTCCCCGGTTGTAGTGGACTCGAACAACCCAGAACGAGGACTAGAACGAGGATTCGAAGTGTGACATTAGCTGCGGGCATCCAAATTGTTGCGCCGCTTGTCAGCCAACCTTTTCACCTTGCCAGTTTTAGTTGCTGATCTACCTTTCCATCATGGTCTCAAAAGATTAGATTTTAGTTTCCACACGCTTGCAGTTTTAGTCAAGGCCGCAAAAGGCTTAGAGTATATGTCAGCATGCTGCACGGTGAGTTTCGCCAGGGCCTCGAGGCCTCGGGCATGAGCTGGAACAACATGTCCACTGCGGAGGCCAGAGTGGATGGGGTGGGGCAAAGCTCAGCAACTTGGTTCGTCCGGGCTTACAATTTTTAAAGCGGGCCTAAACGGATTCTGAGCGGGTTCCAGCATGCACCAAAGCACGATCATGTGGCAGCGGAAAGGAACCCGTTGTTACAACCGATTTAGGGTCACCAAACATTTATTTGCACGACCCGACAAATCAGAGGAGCCCCTACAATGGACCGATTTAGGGTCACCCAAGTTGGTTCAAACGTTGGTTTGAAGGCAGCCTTGACGTATGCTGAACCTGATTTACCATAGATCCGCTTTCAAGGAGCAGTTTCTCAATGACTTGATGTCAGGGTAATTTGGGGAAGCGCTCAAAAGCAGCCCTCAAGGAACAGTCAGCAGTGTTTTAAGTAATAGAACTAGCGAAAACGTGTGTGAGTACTAGCGGAATCAAGCATGCTGATTGGGAATCTGCAGATGCCTGACAGGGGCAGGAGCTCAGACGACCCGTGGTTGCCTTTGATGTTGGATGTATCACTCAGGAATCCTGTTGAGACCTCATAGTGGCCATAGACACAGCTGGATGTGCTTGAGTACGGGTTCACCTTAAGTTGACGGGCATTTAGTTCTTGGAAGAAAACAATTCAACTGTTAGTTGGGGACATTGATTCTTGGGAATACCAGGGGAGCATACACACATCGTATCTACATAAATAAATCCAGTGGCTCCGAAATCGGCTTCGGTGTTTTATTTGGTCTCCCTTTGAATCAATCCCGAGGGGTACCGAGCCTCAAAAACGGACAGGTGCCCTACCATTTTTCTAGGTTCGTCTTGAAGATTGGGGTGGGTGTTTGTCCCCTTGGCTCCCTTCGAAGCATTGCCCTAACCGCAAAAACGCGCAGAGCAACATTTGGTGCCAGTTTTCCTGAGTTGTTTGATGGGTTCTCCACTAAATATGGCCAGCCGCAAAAAGGGGGCCCGTTTTTCTACCTCTCGTGCCTGGGCTGCGTGTGTGTATGTATTTGAGCCAACTATTGCGACATCATTACGAGGAAGCTAGTTTTCCTTTCTTAGGGGAATCTGCCGATTATGCATTCGCTCGGAGAGGTGCTGGAGGATCACATCCCATCCTTCGTGCTCTCGCTCTTTGAGGACCGCCTGAAGGACCGGGAAGCGGGAAGTGCTTCGGAAGCGGGAGCTGTGCTTAAGGCACCCAGTGTTTTGATATACTATGGTTGTGTGTGTGTGTGTGTTTTTGTTTGCGGGGGGGGGCGGGGGAGGGAGGAGGGAACCAACCGCTGCTTGGTTTTGCAGGGCAACTAAAAGGAAACCAGCCTTTGTGAGACGTACCCAAATAGGACCGTAGAACATATTCTATCTTTTAGAGATACCACAGGTATCGCTTCCATCGGGGTCTTTTCACAGCTGTCCAATGCTAATCCCATTAAACAACAATAAACTCGGGCGATATCCCAAACAGCACCACACCCTCCCAGAATCCTCGCGGAACGCCCCGGGGACCCACTTTACAACCGATGTTGCTGAGGATGCCGCGTTGTAACTTTGTAAAGAAAGCTAAGAGTGACAGCGCAATGCACGACGGCGCAATCGGGGCCCGATCGGGGCCCGACGGCGCAATCGGGGCCCGATCGGGGCGGGGCCCGACAGCGCAATCGGGGCCCGATCGGGGCCCGACGGTAACGCCGGTTTTCCTTAGGATGCGGCCTTACAACTGTATCTATAGCAAAACTAGGCGATGCCAGCTTGGTACAGTTGACGAGGCCCAACTGAGTCGGGCCCGACCGGGGCGTGATGGCAATCGGGGCCGATCGGGCCCCGACGGTGCAATTGGGCCCCGACAGTGCAATCAGACCCCGACCTGGGCCCGGTGAACCTCGCAAGCCGTCCTTGCGGAACCCTCGTGGAACTCAGTGTGAAACTTTGTTGGAACCTTTCCAAAGGGGCTGCCCCATAGCTTTTGCAGAACCTGGTGGAAACCTCGTGCAGCGTTTTTGAACCTTATCCCATAGCCCTCGCAGCCTCGTGAAATTCTTGGAACCCAAAGCCCACCAAGTACTATACTCAGCAATGGCAAGCATTTACTCTGCTGCACCGTGAGTCTCGCAGCGACGTGATCTGATTTGCCACAAAGCCAACATTTCGGGCGGCGTTGCCTGAGCAAGTGAGCAAGTGACAAAACAGTGAAAGTGCGCTGAAAACCATTGATTTCGGTTTTGCTCAGTGTTCCGCCCATGAGCAAAGCGATCTTAAACCAATAACTTTTCAGACGACGGGCGCACGACACACTGCTTCCCTCCAGGGCAAACCACGGAACCTTGCACAAACATTTCTGGAACCCTTGGTGGAACATTGTGGAGCCTTTTGGAATTGTGCAGAACTCTGTCCGCCCCGGACCATCCCACAGCCCTCGCACAATCTCGTGGAACCCTGAAACCTCATAGAACCTTACCTCAAACCACCCCGGACCACCCCCGCAGCCCTTGCAGAACCTTGTGGAACCCGGCCAGAACGCTGCTGGAACCTTCATGGAACCTTACCTTGCAGAACCTGGTGGAACCCTGGTGGAACCCTAATGGAACCTCACCTCAAAACCAGCCCACCACCCCGCAGCCCTTGCAGCTGGTGGAACCCTGGTGGAACCCTGGTGGATCCCTGGTGGAACCTTAGCTCAGGGTCGCCCCGAACCACCCCGGAGCCTATCTGGGCTGAGACCCCAAAGCTTTCAGCTGTTGGGGAAAAACAGATTGAGAGCATGACCAGAATCTTCAGGAAAATCTGAGTGAAAAAGCAAGATGCTACATGTTTGTTTTGCTGTTTTTGTGGTTGGTTGTGGTTGTTTTGTGCGCTTTTTGTGAGAACAGCGGGGCTGCGTGACATCTTGTATGGGGAACAAATGGGCAGAGTCTAGTTCCCAAGATAAAGGTAAAATGATGTTGTGGTGTTTTGTTGTATTTTGTGTTTGTTGTGTTTGTTGTGTTTCTTTGTTATTTGTGTGTGTGCAAGAACAGCGGAGCTGCATGAAATCCACTGGTTTTCTGTGCTGGTGTAAGCTGGTAAATTGTGGTTTGTGCCGGATGACAAGGGTGGCTGAAAGAAAACTTAGCACAGCCCCCAAACCTCCAAACCCCCAAACTCCCGAACCCCCGAACCCCCGAACCCCCGAACCCCCAAACCCCAACCCCCCCCCCCCCCGAATTTCAGGGTTGATCGTCGATCCGTCGATCCGTGGACGTTCGGCCGAAGCTTTTGCTTCGCGAAGGGCGAGGGGCTGGGGCTCCATGAGCTCACCGTGCTGGCGGCCACCCTGGAGCATCTCATCCACGACGAGGCGTGCCCACTGCGCACCGAGACCTCTGGCTTGCGAGCCCGCTTTTGTGTCTCCCGTTTTTTTGTTTTTGTTTTTTTTCAGGAAGGCAGGCCCTTTAAAATCAAGTAAGAGAGGAAGCCGAATCGTTGTTTCTCATGGAAATCCACTGGGGGTCTGGGAACAGGTCCTTGTGTTTCAGCCACCAGAATGAACGTGCAGAACTGAATGGATGGACAGGATTCCAGTTGTTCTGGCAAAGAAAAACGACGTCACGTTCCTAGGGGTGCGAAGTCATGTCCCAAAAGTGAAGATTCCGTTCATATGTTTGGCTGGTGGTATATTATAATTTGCCGATTTTTGTTTGATCCAGGCAGACTTTAAACAAACCGTTATTGACTCAAACATACTTAAACCCAGGCGTTGATTTTCCATCCATTTGGTTTGCACCAAAGAGTGTTTTCCCCATAGAATTCACCCAGAAAGTGCACGACGTGTGCCCGGACAGGGGCGAGTAATTTTATCGAATGGGGGGCAAAGCAACCCTATGATGCAGGCTTCTTTGGGATGCCCATATTTGGATTAATTGCCCCACAGGCAAACGAAAGGCATGGGTCGTTTTGCCTATCTTTCTGGACTCAGACTACGATTCGGCCACAACAATTAGGATCTTGTGTGATTCATTAGAATCTTTGGTGAGGCGATGGAGCCCCCCTTACAGCAAACGGTTCCTTGATAGAGGGGTTGCATGAATTTAACATGGAGGTTCGGGGGCCTTTTGCACTGTTGAATTTGCAAAAGGAACCGGGTGGCCTTGCTGGAACACTGGGAACTCTCTTGTGGAAAACAGCTCACCCTAAGCTGGTACCATTCAACACAGACAAACACACCCGAAACAGAGTGCCATCCCAAAGCTACCTGGGTCAACGCAACGTAAATGTTTACGTCTTTGCCTTTGCGCTTTTCTTACTTGATGATGGTAACACATAAACTCAAATCCTGCGTTTAGAGTTGAACATTGGTAGGACACCAAAAGGATATATTTGTTTGGTTTTCTGACCCGCTCTTTAGCACCCAGCTTATTTTGTCCATGTTTCTTTGGAGGGATATATATATATATATATACATACATATGTGTATATATATATATTATCAAAGGGTTGGGTTGCAGGAAATTCAGGAAAAGAGCTTGTTTAGGGTCGTCTGGGTGAATCTCGCTCGGGTCCGACCCCGTTCGAATCGCCTTCGCCGAATTGGTCGAGGCGGTGGCCCGGCTTGGGGTGGTCTATGAGGCCCACGGCACCTCCAAGGAGCAGCGCGTGGACGAGGCGAGGCGATGGAATTGTTCACAGGGAACCCCCTGAAAAGGGGCAAATTAAAATCCCCAGCCTAAATGATGTACCCACTAGAATGCCATAGTTCTGCAATCATGCAGGGGGTGTCTAGAAAATGCCCTCCGAAGTTTGGCCTAAGCCTTTTCCACGTGCCTGACAGGGGGGGAGGGAGAATGGTCTCATGATATACAGTAAGAGCCTGAGCAATTTGATTTGCCAACTAAATTTGCAACTATAGCATGTAACCAGGAATTTGACCTCTTGGTTTCGCATGACAGTTCTTCTTGGTTGTTGGTAGTTTGCTTTTGGTTTGGGGAGACAAGAGCCACCCAAGTTTTACTTGGAGGGACAACACAATTATCCAGCGTGCAACAAATAGGAACACATGCATGAGCCAGGTTGTGAATATAGGGGGTTGCTTAGCACTTCTGTGATACCAGCGAACCTCCCGTCTAATTTGAGATTTGGTCATTTGAAGCGCCTTTCATTGGTATCAGCGGACAATTCGCACAACCCTATGCATGAGGGTCCAAAGTTGCGACCCTTTAATTTTGAGCAGATATAGGCACGCACTTGATAAACAACGCAATGCAACTCTGCAAGCAGTGCAATGCAAGAAAACTCAAGAACCGCGGTGCTGAGCGGTGCGGAAAGCGCGGCTTCCCCGGTTTGAAGCCAAATTCGTGTTCCCTTTTGGAGACTAGCCCATTTTAGTGTCTAGGTGCTTCCGGCAATATTGGGGCCACACCTTCATGACCAGATAGAGCCGTTTTTTGGGGTTTCCGGCGCTGAAACACATTTTCTGAGACCAAGAGGTGGCCCTCCAAGAGCTCATCGACACCTACATGACCATCTTCTTGGTGGGTGCCCAGAACGCGAACGCCACCTCGGTGGCTCAGGAGAGATAGTTCTGGGGCCCGGGTCTTGAAGACGTTGATTCCAGGCCCCTACCATCATGTGTGGGCGCGTGTTCGTTTAGGCTACCTTGTTTTGGGCTTGTTTCACCCACCCATTCTGGTGGGGTTGCCCTATTTTGACACAAACCTAGATTGTTGAATCAGGTTGCTGCATTCTCTTCCTGCCAGGATCTTGAACTCCAAGTCTTTTCCGCACTGCTTTGCTCTCTCGGGGTCCAGGCAGCCAGCAAGCCTGGCGAGACGATTCTTGCGAGCAAAGTATTGCATGGCGACGCATGGCATCCGCAAAGCCAGTTCCTTTACCTTGTTTGGGGTCACCGAGATGTGTACTTTGGAGCCTAACGTTTTTCTGCACGTGGAACCATCCCGCTTCCCGCAACCTACCGTGGTGGCTGTTTAGAAAGTGGGACAAGCACCAAGGCGCCAGGCCCAGTTGGAACGCTTACCACTTACCATGCTCGTGACTTCGGCCACACTGAAAGTTAGAGGCTGCGTGGATTTTAGCCAACAAGTTGCAAGCACGTCCTGCATTTTTTTCTCCTTGGTTGCACCGTTGCGGGGGCTTTGCTACGAAGCGGGCTTCCCTTCTTAGGTTCACATTGTTTGTCAGAATCCCAGGGTTCTCCTTTAATTTCCAGGTCCGAAAACTTCGCTTGGGGAAGCAACCACGGCAAAATCAATGGGCATTCTGTTTCATGGGAGACTGCTGGTAGGCCTCATTCGCCTTGTTTTGAGGAGCGCTCGAACGTTGTGGACAGCTACCCGGGCTGGAAGGCAGGTTGCAGCGGAAAGAGCAGTTAGGCACCCGCCCTGTCATTGGGGTCAACCTAAACGTGTCTTACATGATGCCAGTATCTCACAGGACAAGCTAGAGGAGAAAATGTCTAGAAAGATAAGGGGTGCAAATCGGGGACCTTTGTGTTGGATAGTGATGGTTTTGAAGGGACGCTGAATCCAACGTGAGTAAACACATATACATATATACATATATAGTATAAATACTCCATGTATCAGTATATTATACTACATATACACATACATGACATTACATTACATTACATTACATTGCATTACATTGCATTGCTTTGCATTACATTTACATTTACATTACATTACATTACATTACATTGAATTGCGTTGCATTGCATTACATTGCATTCCATTACATTACATTACTTTGCATTGCATTACTTCAGAGCCTCCGGCTCAGTCCGCCGACATTGTCCTCTCCCTTTTCTCCTGCCCGCCTCTCTCTCTTTTCTCTTCCCTCGGGTGTTCCCTCGTCCTTTGTCCCTCTCCGTCTCTCTCCTCTCCATCCTCCCCATCCTCCCAATCCTCTCTCTCCCTCTCTCTGTCTCTCTCCTTCTCTCTCTCTCTCGCTCTCTCCTTCCCACTCTCTCTCCTTCTCTCTCTCTCTCTCTCTCTGCGTCTCTGTCTCTTTCTGTCTCACTCTCTCCTTCCTCTCTCCCTCTCTCTCTCTCTCTCTCTCTCTTTCTCCCTCCTCTCTATGTCTCGATCTTTCTCTACCTCCTCGCTATGCCTCATTCTCCTCACCTCGTGTCTCTGCCCCCCCCCTGGTCGCTGCCTCTCTCTCTCTCTCTCTCTCTCTCTCTCTTTTCTCGCTCTTTCCTCTGTCTCTCTCTCTCTCTCTTTCTCTTCTGCTATCTCCGTCTCTCTTTCTGCCTCTCTCTCTGTTTCTCTCCTTTTTTTCTGCCTCCTGTTCTCTCTCTTTCTCGATCTCGGTCTCTTTCTCTGACTCTGTCTCTCCCTCTTTCTCGGTCTCTGTCTGTGTCTCTGTCTCTGTCTCTGTCTCTGTCCCTCTCTCTCTCTCTCTCTCGCTCTCTCTCTCTCTCTCTCTGTTTGCATTGCAGCGTCATGTCCCCCCTGAGTTGCCTCCATCTCCGTGCACTGCCCCTTCATGACCCCTGAATTGTCTTCGTACTACTAGCTTTCCCCTTGATTTCCCCTTCATGTCCTTTTCATGTCTCGTCATTTTTCGAGGATGTCCTCGTCATGTCCCCTTCCATTCCTTTCAATTCCCCCTTCATGTCCCACGTATGTCCCTCTCTTTCATTGCCAGTCATTTCCCTACATCTCCCTTCGTGTCCTTTGGTTTTCTTGTCCTTTGTTTGCCTTGCAGTCCCCCCTCACTCCCCCCGGTTTCCTTTCTTTCCCTTCATGTCCCTTTCAGTTCCCCTTCATGTCCCTTTCAGTTCCCCTTCATGTCCCTTTCAGTTCCCCTTCGTTTCCCTTTAATTTCCCCTTGCTTTCCTGTCATGTCAACTTCCCGTCCGCTGCATGTCCTGGTATTTCCCTTTATTTCCTCCCCTCATTTCCCTGCACTTCCTTGCGTTTTCCCTGCGCTCCCCGCAATTTTTCCCCAAAAAGGATGTCCAAAACACAAAACCCGCACCAGCAAAGCGCCGGCAGGGGGATTCGAGCCTGGGACCCCTGTTTCGCGGCTCCCCGAAGACTATTTCTAGTGGAACGTCATCAGATTACCGGGGGACCTCCCCCCCTCCGACGTGTCGCAACATTACATTGCATTACGTTACATTGCATTACATTATGTTACGTTGCGTGAATATATTTATACATACATACATACATACATGCATGCATACATACATTGTTTTATATATATACGCATATATATATATATACACGCATATATATATATATACACATATATATATACACATCTCAGAATATATATATATATATACGCACATATACATATATCTATATACACACATCTCAGAACACACATATATATATATATATATATATATCAACACATATACATATCAGCATGTCAAGGGTTCCCTTTTCGGGCCACATTCAAAAGCGGTTGCATTTTTGCCATGGCAGGACACCCAGAAGTTCACCATGCAGGTCGTGTCCAGCGTGTCGCAGGCCAAGGCGCGGCTTTCGTAAACGGTGCTCTTTGTCCTTTAGGGGCCCTTTGCCCTGATTCCACCTGCTTAAGAATATGTTTTGTATTTCCTTGTTGGTTTTAAAGAAAGAGAATAATCTGTTGTGACAGACGCAGCCCAGGATTGGTTTTGGAGCGTTGCCCCAAACCACCAAAACTCGCCCACAACTCACGCAACAACATTCCTACAGCATATGGAATGAATATCTAAGCCAGCCTGAACCCAGTGAGGCTGGTGAGGCTGGTGATGCTGGGGATGCGGCCCAGCCCAGCCCTAGCAAAAAACCAGCCTTAGGAAAACAAAAGACCTCTACCGATACAGCCCATTCAGACAACCCTATATTGGTGGTTTGGGTTGGCTTGGGAATCTGAAGCTCTGGGTGTTTAGAGTCAAACGGGGTTCACTCCGCAGATTTCAATCTGACGGTAAGCTGAGCCAGTGTTCTTCTTGGTTAGGCGAGTAGCAAATGGGTAGGAATACACAAAAGCGTTCCCAAAGTCGTGTTCCAATCTGACAATGCTGAAAATGCATCTCCTGCATGCAGAACAAATAATTCGGTGGGACACATGACGTGTTTAACTCTGGGGTACAAATTCCGCTCGAGACTGCAATCGCATGCGCCGAGCTTGGCCAATGATTCAGAGCCCAAAGGGGAGCCATGGGAATGTTTTGGCCATCAATAGGCCAAGGCGTGTCACTAAGATGCCCACCGAAAGGTACCTTCAAGAGGAAGCATCCAGGGGCCTTTAGTCAGGTTACATGGTTTGTTACGGATTAAATGCAAGTCCTACATAGGCCCGTATAGACACTTGGGCTGAACCAAAGTCATTGGATCGTGGTTTGACCCGTCACCATTTTGGCCTGGGGTGATTGTGTTTTGTTTGGGCAGCCAGTTCAACGGAGGGTGGGCCATTTTGGGGAATTGCTTGGTGAATCCCTTGTTGGACATGGATTTGTGGCTGCCTGCTGGTAGAGAGGTACAAGCTGAGCACTGGTGCCAAAGTCCAGTCGATGGATCATGAAAAGACAATAGGTTGACAATGGGGTGATAGGGTGACATGGATGTCTATGAACATTGCGGGGGGGGGAGGTTCATCTCAATTTGCGGATGAGAACCCAGTCGATCCCGAGAGCAAAGGGGAGGGGGCAAAGATCCCTCGGTCGTGGTCCCTCCTTTGGTGAAACAAGGTAAGCTTTAGGACCGTCAGGAGTACTGGAAATAAGTTTCGCCACCCCTTGAATGGATCCCTTTGCTTTCTGAGGGCATTGGAAGCGTTGGTTCCCCGTAGAGCCAACCGGCCACATAAAAGGGGTCCCCAACCAAAAGCACGGGGCCCACCTCCAATGAACAGAGCTGAGCACCCGTATGTTGACCCAGTTGATGAATCCACTTGGGAGGGACGGGTGTCACTAAACTCTCGGGGACCCAGGGCCCATATCTGCCATTGGCATGCAGGCAAGTTTGTTAGTTCTTGGCTGGTGACGACGAGAGATGGTCGTCGCTGTTTTAAGACACTGTTTTAAATGTTGGGCAATGGCTTTGGTGGGTTGAATTCGGCAACAGCGGTGTACTCAGGCAACCTTTCGATTTTAGATTGAGCATGGCACTTCAATGCCGAGCAATGAATGCTTTGCAAGCGCGAAGTGCTTGGAAAGAGTTTTCACCAAAGCACCATCGCGTGCCATCGTCCGAATGCTTGTGGTATTCAGTGAGCCAATGCGAAAGCGTTTAACTTTGGAGAGCTTCCCAGATGCTTAGAGTGTTATCTACACTCGCGGAAGGGGCGGAAAGCTGTCCCTCCTTTTCTGAGGGACCAACCTTGATCAGGACCCTGAGGGCAAAAGCTATGTAATCATCATTCAAAGTGGATATTTCGTTTGTGTTGCCTGTAACTAAGAGGTTTAACCCACGTAATCCGGGTTTTGGGTATTCTCCTTTGCTTGCGTATGACTCACCAGGAAAGCCGCGATCCACCTTTCTTCAGGTGGGCGGGTGTTTCAGGCTTCAAACAATCTCAAAACCTCAGTTCCAAAGTGCCTCTTGGCCAGATTGGAGGGTCATCACGTGAAGGATTGTGTCTTGTAGTGAATGAGTGTGTCCAACGATTTGACCTCTCGCAAATACGCAAACCAAGCCATTCAATAACTGGTCTGGCCCAGTTTACACGCATGTTTGCGTCTCAAGTTCGTGTTTGGCAGACGAGCCTTCCTGCTCCATGAAGGTGGAAGTTTACTTGCCCAGTGGAGATGGTTGCTCCATTGAAGTCTTTCCGACAACGCCCATCAGCGAGCTGAGGGCCACAGCGCAGCAGCATTTCCAGCGCCGCTTGAAGCTCACTGCAAAAGGCCGGCAGCTCGATTTGAGGGCCACACTGAGCGAGGCTGGCCTGCGAGATGGGGATGTAGTGACTGCGGTTGTGCAGCTGGGCAAGCTGGCTGCCACCTTTAGGTCGTTTGCTTTGCACAGCCACGGGGGCGAGGTTGTGACCTGGGGTGATCCAAGACTTGGCGGAGACAGCAGCCAGGTGCAAGAGCAGCTGAGGAACGTCCAGCACATCCAAGCAACAAACCTTGCTTTTGCTGCCATTCTTGAATCTGGGGCTGTTGTGACCTGGGGTTGTCGAGGATATGGCGGAGACAGCAGCCAGGTGCAAGGGCAGCTGAGGAACGTCCAGAGCATCCAAGCAACTGGCGGTGCTTTTGCTGTCATTCTTGAATCTGGGGCTGTTGTGACCTGGGGTTCTTCAGAACTCCGAGACAGCCAGGTTCAAGAGCAGCTGAGGAACGTCGAGCGCATCCAAGCAACTAGCCTTGGTTTTGCAGCCGTTCTTGATTCTGGGGCTGTTGTGACCTGGGGTGATGCACAGTATGGCGGAGACAGCAGCCAGGTGCAAGAGCAGCTGAAGAACGTGCAGAACATCCAAGCAACTGCCGGTGGTGCTTTTGCTGCCATTCTTCAATCTGGGGCTGTTGTGACCTGGGGTGATCAAGAATATGGCGGAGACAGCAGCCAGGTGCAAGAGCAGCTTAGGAACGTCCTGCACATTCAAGCAACTTGTCGTGCTTTTGCTGCTATTCTTGAATCCGGGGCTGTTGTGACCTGGGGTTATCCAGATTGGGGCGGAGATAGCACCCAGGTGCAAGAGCAGCTGAGAAACGTCCATCACATCCAAGCAACTGAGCGTGCTTTTGCTGCCATTCTTGAATCTGGGGCTGTTGTGACCTGGGGTGATCCAGCCCATGGCGGAGACAGCAGCCAGGTGCAAGAGCAGCTGAGGAACGTCCAGCACCTCCAAGCAGCTGCCGATGGTGCTTTTGCAGCCATTCTTGAATCTGGGGATGTCGTGACCTGGGGTTGTCGAGGATATGGCGGAGACAGCAGCCAGGTGCAACAGCAGCTGAGGAACGTCCTGCACATTCAAGCAACTTGTCGTGCTTTTGCTGCCATTCTTGAATCTGGGGCTGTCGTGTCCTGGGGCAATCAAGATTGGGGCGGAGACAGCAGCCAGGTGCAAGAGCAGTTGAGGAATGTGCAGCACATCCAAGCGAATGGCGGTGCTTTTGCTGCCATTCTTGAATCTGGGGCTGTTGTGACCTGGGGTCATGCAGTCTACGGCGGAGACAGCAGCCAAGTGCAAGAGCAGCTGAGCTTGAATGCGGGGCTGTTGCAACATGGAAGGAGCAAGTCTCAGACGCCAAACACGTGCAGATGGAAGGGACCGTCAAGTGCACTCGACAGTTGGGTTCAGTTTGCAAAGCGCTGCTGGGGTGAATCTCGGAGCACGGTGCTAGTACGCGCACCCAGCAAAATAGAGGTGAGCAGCAGTCTTTTTTCACCATCGATCATTGTAGTTGACGCATGTCGTTGCTTGAAATATGTTTTTCAATGGAGGTTGGCTAAGCCAGGGACCATGAGACCAGGGGCGCATGCCAGCTTGAATGAGTGACAGCACAAAACGATTCGCAATTTTGCTGTTCCATAAAACGCGTGCCGTCGCTGCCTGGCTTGAGTGTCCTTGCCCACAGTGAGACCAGGTGTAAAAGGGGTTCGAAATTGTTGAGAGGAATGGTAATTAACTAGGGATATCGATAAAGGTCCTCGATGTGCCACTTCGAGTGACGCAGCCCTCAGATGAAGAGGAAGAAATCCGAAGGAAGCCTATGCCTAGCGTGTAAACTCCTGTATCACCCAGATGGCTGGGCAAGAGGTCCCGCAGAAGGGGTCAACTTGCATAAACCATAGGAGTGAAGGCCAACAAGAAGCCAACCACCAAGAGGGGGGTCCAGCCGTAGAGGGTCAAAAGCGGCCCGGAATGCCACCCATTTTGGGCCACCAGCGATATTTGAACTTGTTGTTCTTTTGACCCCCAACCCAAAGACTGGCTCTTGCCAAACGTACCTTTGTCACCTGCCTCCTTGGTTTTCCATCATTTTCCAGCTAAGTCCGGCCCAGCGGCTAAAAGCCGAGTTCCCTTTGACCAAGCTCCACTCCCCGTCATCCCCATCCATGGCTTCCAGATGACGGAGCCGGACTTCGCCATGGGCAACTTCACCTTCCGCGCGGCCACGCAGATCGTGGAGGAGTTGGGTTGATTGGTTTTGAACATTTGCAGAGAGAGACAGAGGATTGGTTTCATTGACTGACTTTGCTTTATTTTGTTGGTTTCTTGGAGCGAATGCTCCTCGAGTTCTTCAGGTTTGTCAGAGATTCAATCATGTGCCCATCTGGAAAGGAGCCTTTCCAGTTTGTGAAGAGATGAATTCTGGCCTGGAACTCACGTTCCATCTAGCCCAAGGATTTGTGCTCGGGAAGTGCATGTGACCTGCATCTCCGTCTCTGTGGCTCAACCCTCCAGTAAGGGACAGTCCCCTTGCTAGAACTTGGCAAAAGTCCGACCGTTCAATTCTGCAGATGGCTTTGGGTAGACCTCCTCAACAACCACGCCTCTCCTTCTGACATGTTTTTGGAAGGCATGGTTTCTGACTTGGGGCACATAAAGGGACCTTCTATTCAAAGCACAAACATCCAGCGCAGGCAACCCCGATTCTCAGCACAGTTGAGACCGTGGCCCATGGCCCAGTGTCAGGTGAGTCACCATCAAAACCTGGTGGTGTGCAATCTGGTTCATTCAGAGCCACCATGCAAGGATTCTCTAGGGGTCCATATTGACATTTAACCCAACAAGAAATCATTTGACTGAGGGACTGGGGGATGGATCTGCCAAGGAAGCCTGTTAAAACCTGGATGCATCCCGCAGGATACTCCTTTTCTTCCTGGTTCTCAGTAACCCCTTGACGCCCCATATTAAAAACCCCTCCAGCCGACCCCAAAATCGCCGATACTAATTTTGAATTACCCAAAAACCAATACCAACCTCTCTGGAAACCAGATGAGCTTAGCCAAACTCCCCAGACGTCCTTATTAAGGGCCACCCTAATTATCAGGCCATGGCTGTTGAGGACAGGATACTTCCTGGTCCTTTCCCTTTAAAAGTTCCTGCCCTTTAAGAGGTCCTTCCCTTTAACAGTTCTTACTGATGAGTTGCATTCTGAACACTTTCGTTTGCAAACCGGCATCCCCCTTTTCCAAATAGAACCGAATACTAAACAACGCAATCTGAAAATAGTTCTCTCCAAGCACCGGAGGACCCGAATAGCAAAACTCCTCTGAGCATTTTGTTGCGGGGACCATTCATGGAACCGACCGTTTAGTTTATTCTTAGGGGGGCCGGATTTTTTTGGATCTGAGTTTGTGGATCCTTCAAAGAAACAAGGGACTGTTCGAGCGACGGTCAGGAGATCGGTGAGCGCTATGGGCGCTGGCAAGACTCCGAGTGCCGCGACTTGAAGGGCCGGGGCCCACAGTCCGGCCGCTTCAAGTCAGGGAAGTCAGGGAAGTTCTCTAACGTTTTGTCGACCCGTTGTGGTCAAAAAACAAAGGGTAGACCGGAGGTCAAACGATCTTGTTTTTGGACCGTAACCTGGAGGTAAGAAAAGCAGGCTCGGGGTTTGGAAGCAGGGCTCTCCAATGAAGCTCGAAACTTCATACAGGCCACCTCACTTCCCAGGTTTCTACCCTAAAACTTGTTGGGAGGTTCATGTTAGTGGTCAACAAGCGGTCTGGGCTTGTTCTAGCCGATCCACTCAAGAAGGTCAAGGAGGTTCAATATTCAATGTGTCCAACCGACATTCGATACTGGCGAGCAAGCTGAACAGGAGGGTAACTCACTGAACATGTAGCGGCAATCAGAAACTCAGAAATACGTCATGCTACTAGGTTTGGCCAAGTGTTTTGTTGCGGTGGTGTTGCTTGGAGCCTCGGCAAATTTGGCCAACTCGCGGTCGGCTCGAGTTTCTCCTGAGGCCTGCTGTCCAAGCATGAGAACGCCGGCACTGGCCGAGTCCTCTTGAAGGACAAGCCTAACAAAACACTCGGGTCAGCCGCGCTCACCCATGATCAAGGTTCTGTTTATGGGCAGTTTCCTGCAGTTGTTTCGTCTTGAGTCTTCTCTGTTTTGTTTTGGTGAACCTTGAACTTGGATTTCCAGGGCACTACAAGAGGAGCAACATGTCCAATATGTTGCACGTGCACATAAATATCTTGCAACAGATTCATGAAGCTGCCTTTTGTCCGGGTTCCACTTTTGTTATTACATCACTAGGTTTATCCCAGTGCTTGATCGGGAACGACCCTGTTCAATTGTTTTGGATTGCTCAACAAGGCATGTTTGCTGGCGCATTCACATTTGTTGGCTCTTTGGGATGTCAAAATATAGACTCCTCCTTCTTTAAGGATGATTTTGAAAGAGCCACCAAGTTTTGCTTGGTGTTCGAATCTTGGCAGGCATCCCTCGCAAGGACTTGAGTCCGGGCCTGGGCCCTATCAGAGAGCCCTGAACGGGGCACGCAACGGGTTTGGATTTCAGGCAGTTTCAGGCAGAAACAAAACAGCCCAACACAGCCTGATAAGCCGGGCGTACTGAGAGGTGTGCGTCAGTCAAAGAATCAAAACCGCCCGAAATTGCCCGGGAAACACCCTGTTTGGGCGATCCCCCGTTAAGGGCCGCCAAGTTTTATTCCCAATCCTGTTAAGGGGGTTGAGCTACAGCGCCACATCATCCAACTGCCAGGCCAAAACATCAAACTATTTCGAAATGCATTGCTCCGGTTCCTGATGAGCTCCATGAAGAAACAACTTCAAGTCATTCTGACCAGAACTTTGGGGCCACTTCACGTGAGCCACATTCAACGTCTGAGATGAAGTCCTTTTGGCATAAACAGGCACATGGATTTTGGATTTTGTAGTTGTACCATGGATTTTGAACGCAAGGTTACTATGTCTGTGTCATTCTCTCGCCACCATCTACTTTAATCGCATTGACGATATTCGCTTTGTTGATTGTGTTGCTGTTTGGTGCGACTTGTTTAACCTTTTTCACTTCTAGGAAATGATCTTTTTTCCCCTAAAGAAGCAGCACGTTGACATGCTTCACTTTTGGAGGTCAGAACCCGATCCATGTTGTTTCTTTCGCCTACCCACACTTGTTGATTCCTGCCAGCGCAGTTCATAGTTTCGTCTCAGGGGCCGGAGTGGGCTGAGCTGCATTGAGCGCCAAGTGTGTAGGAATAGATATATACATATATAATCCGTTTGGAATCCATGCTGTCAATTCCAGGCACCCCTTTTCGAAGGAAACTGGAGAAAGAAAGATAACGGCCACGGAAAGCACCATGTTTGACACACACACTCACACACACACACACACTTCTTGCTTTTCTCAGATGGGTTCAAACTTGTAACAAATGATGGGTTCTCGGATGCGAAGGACGTGTTGTTTTTTCGCCTTTCTTGGATTTCGTGGGGAGGACTTCTACGGCGCAGCGCTCAAGGGGAATTGGCAGTTCTCCGAGAGCGTGGCCTACCTCCGCGAGCTTGGCGCTTTGGATGAGCCCCTCGGCGGGCGGAGTCCGGGGAGTCTTGCGGCGCCGGGGGCGAATGAGGCTGACTCCTCGGTTGCTGGTTTCCTGATTGCTTTATGGATCCTTTCAGGCTTGGAATTGTTGCGGTTTGGGAGGAGTTTGGGTTTTCTTGGTTCGGTGTTTCGGCATCGGACAACTATGGGATTTCACTGGATGCCTCCTTTGCATAGAGTGGAGCAACTTCTTCAATTCGGGATTCAGTGGGAAGGAGGGCCCTGTTGCTTTACCCTGAGAGGTCTCAATAGCCTCACTTAACCCCGCGTATTTTCTGTAAAGGTCAACAACAATTTCGCTAGCTCCCAAATCAAAAGGTCGGTCTCCAAAGCTCCAGAGAGCATCGGCTTTTCACCACCAGGGGTTAAATATATTTGTGACCCTTACCTCCCAAACAACACAGTACTCATCTTGAGAATGGGTCCCAGGCATTTTCGGGTTAGACTTTGATGTGTGGCACTTGCTTGGATCTTTGCACCTTTCCACTTTTGGGAGACACCTGTGTGTTGCCCGTATATTTAGCTTTTCGCCGGGGCCACAGCCACCAAGATGAATTGTTCAGGTTCTTTGCCGAAGTTCCCAGGTCGGACCCGGCCAACCTGGCTGTTTTGATCCCCAACTACGTGAACTCCCAGTCCAACTGCGTGGCATCCTCCTCCATCTACTCTGTGTGCTGCATCAACGAGTGCGAGGCAAGCGCGTGCGCTCGGGATCGGACGCAATTGTTTGTGGGCACTGCAGAAAAGCCTATGTGTTTGGTTGTTTGTTTGTTTGTTTGTTTGTTTGTTTGCTTGCTTGCTTGCTTGCTTGCTTGCTTGCTTGCTTGCTGATTGATTGATTGATTGATTGATTGATTGATTGATTGATTGATTGATTGATTGATTGATTGATTGATTGATTGATTGATTGATTGATTGATTGATTGATTGATTGATTGATTGATTGATTGATTGATTGATTGATTGATTGATTGATTGATTGATTGATTGATTGATTGATTGATTGATTGATTGATTGATTGATTGATTGATTGATTGATTGATTGATTGATTGATTGATTGATTGATTGATTGATTGATTGATTGATTGATTGATTGATTGATTGATTGATTGATTGATTGATTGATTGATTGATTGATTGATTGATTGATTGATTGATTGATTGATTGATTGATTGATTGATTGATTGATTGATTGATTGATTGATTGATTGATTGATTGATTGATTGATTGATTGATTGATTGATTGATTGATTGATTGATCGATCGATCGATTGATTGATTGATTGAATGACTGATTGATTGATTGATTGAATGACTGATTGTTTGATTGTTTGTTTGCTTGTGTGTTGGTTTGTTGTGTGTGTGTGTGTGTCAGTTATGGTTGTTTTTGTTTGTGTTTGTGATATATATGTTTTTCCCCAAGCAGTTTACTGTGAGGGGTTCTAAATTCATTTAAAGTGACTCGCCTATTGCAAAGACCTAGCCTGGATGCCTGGCACGGCTCTCTTGGTGGACGGGTTCATTTGTCTCCCTTTGTCTCCCTTCATTTGTCTCCCGTTGTCTCCCAGCCTGGATGCCTGGCACGGGGAACGGGTTCATTTGTCTCCCTTTGTCTCCCTTCATTTGTCTCGCGTTGTCTCTCAGCCTGGAGGCCTGGCGCGGCTCTCTTGGTGGACGGGTGCATTTGTCTCCCTTTGTCTCCGGATGGATTGATTTGTCTTCCGTTGTCTACCAGCCTATGTCTGGCACGGCTCTCCGGGCGGACAGCCCGTTGTCTCTCAGCCTGGAGGCGCGACGCGTTCATTTGTCTCCGTTTGTTTTTCCCCAAACGCCTACTAGCCTGGGTGCCTGGCACGGCTCTCTTGGTGGACGGGTTCATTTGTCTCCCTTTGTCTCCCTTCATTTGGTTGGCTTCGTTGAATGACGTTTTTTGTTGTCTCCCTTCATTTGTCGTTGTCTCCCAGCGTGGATGCCTGGCACGGCTTTGTTTCCCATCCGCACGGACGGACTCATTTGTCTCCCTTTGTTTGCTTTGCATTGTTTCCCGGCCTGCATGCCTGGCACCGTTTCTGAGACAAAGGGAGACAAATGAACCCGTCCACCAAGAGAGACGTGCCAGGCATCCAGGCTGAGACAACGGGAGACAAATGAAGGGAGACAAAGGGAGACAAATGAACCCGTCCACCAAGAGATGAAGGGAGAGAAGCCATGCCAGACATCCAAGCTGGGAGACATCGCAAGACAAATGAATCCGTCCACCCCGAGAGCCGTGCCAGGCATCCAGGCTGGAACGGAAAACAAATGAATCCGTCCACCCAAAACAAAAAGAGAAAGGGGGACAAATGAGCCCGTCCACCCAGAGAGCCGTGCCAGGCATGCGGGCTGGGAAACAACAAGAGACAAGTGAAGGGAGAGGACGGAAGACAAATGAATCCGTCCACCCAACTAGCCGTGCCAGACAAATGTAAGGACAAAGGAAGCCTATCCGCCCGAAATCCAGGCTGGGAGACAACAGGGAGACAAAGAGGGAGCCGTCCACCCAGAGAGCCGGCTCTTTGAGTAGACGGGTTCTTTTGTCTCGCTTTGTCTCCCTTATTTTGTCTCCCGTTGTCGCCCAGCCTGGATGTCTGGCACGGTTCTCTGGGTGGACGAGTTCATTTCTCCCGGCCCGTGAGAGTGGTACCGGTTGTCTCCCAGCCTGGATGCCTGTCACGGCTCTGTGGGTGGACGGGTCTCCCAGCCTCGATGCCTGGCACGGCTTTGCGGTGTATTCCGCGGGCACGCATGTGTGTTTGTGGATCAGAAACGCGTGTTTGAGCGCGCGCATGCTCCAAGTGAATGATTGTGTGTTCTTGGTGTGTTCCAGCTGACCACATCGGCGCGTTCCAAGCGCCACGCGCTTTTTGCACGTGGCCACATGAGTGTGTTCCACGTGAGCACGTGTTTTCGTTTCAGGTGAAAGTATGCGATTGCTCTGATAGAACACATATGCGATCCGGTCAAAATTCTTAGTAAGGGAGTTTAGTCTACAGAGGCCACTGTCGCAGTCACTTTGTGCAGTTTTTCATTCACACAAAGCGGAGTCCTGCAAATGCCAATGGATTGCCCGCTTCCCGCTGGAGGCGCTAGGATGGCGCTTAGTTTGCGCTAGGGTCTTCGGTGATCTTGATTTCACAAGAGTTGGCGCGTGGGTTGCCGCGAGGGGCTTTGTGTGGCTTTCAAGGGTGTAATGTTGCAGTTCTTACTTAGTACTAAGAAGCCAGCCCGCACGTTTACCTTCATCTTACTTGTCAAATAAATACGGCGAACACGCGCTAGCCGCGCGCTAGCAAGGCGCTAGCGCAGTGGTCAGCTGTGACCGGTTCCCATTTACGCCTCAACCCAAAGTTGCTTCCTCTTTCCTCGCGTGCAATTATGATGGAGTGCGATTTGCTGGACAAAGGGGGGAAAAAACGGCTGAGGCAAGAAGGCAGGGATGCCTTGTGCCGAGCGTACGGAAGAATTTGGTGGCGTATTTGCCTGCGAAAGCAAATGCTTCACTCAATCGATACGAAGAGTTGCCACAATACAATAGAAGCACTAGATTGCCCGATACGGAAGACACTGTGCAGCTATACGAAAAAGAAGCGCAATACGCCGGAAAGCTTTTGCTAAGCTGAAGCCTGTACATGCTGGAGACGCATCCGATTCTGGTAGTGCTAGCAGTAGTAGCAGCAGCCGCAGCAGCAGGCTCGCTCGCTAGCAACTATTTTCCTACTTGGAACATGCGTATAAAACACAGGCGTTGTTCAAGGCAGAGCCCGTGGAATAGCGCCTCACAGCCGGCTTCGGGAGCTTGATTTATGTGTCGCCCAGGCGTGCAGAAAATGTAAGTTCCATGCGAACACATCTTTGTTGTCCAGGTGAATGCATGTGTGTTGCACATTTGTGTTGCACATGTTTCTCCACATGTGCACATCCGTGTGTTCCATGTGTACACAGAGGTGTGCTACAAGTCAACACAGAAGTTTATTCTGGTTAAACATGTTTGTGTGATCCAGGTCTGCGCCAGTGTTACACTTGAACACAAATGCCTGTTCCAAGTAAGCGCATGTAGGGTTCCAGGTCAACACAAATGTGTGTTGCAGGTGAACAGAAATGTGCTTTCCAGACATACACACATATGTGATCATATGTGTTCCAGGTGTACGCATGTGTGTGCGAGCACGCGCCCGCGTGTGTGTGTGTGTGTGTGTGTGTGTGTCTGTGTGTGTCTGTGTGTGTTTGTGCGTGTTCCGGGTGCGTGTATATGTGTGTGTTCGTGTGTACACATATATGTGTTTAACACGTACACATATGTGTGTTCACGTGTACACATATGCGTGTCGCACGTGTACACATATGTGTGTTCACGTGTATACACATGTGTGTGCCTGCTCCGCGTGCACATGTATGTGTGTTCACGTGTACACATGTGTGTTCCCGAGTGCGCGCACGTGCGTGCCAACTGGACATGTTTGTGTTCCAGGAGAAAATATGTTTGTCATCAGATGAACACGTGTGTGTGTGTCTGCTCCGTGTGCACATGTGTGCGTGTGTGTGTGTGTGTGTGTTCGTTTGTGCACATACGTGTGTTCCAATTGGACACGTGTTTGTGTTTCAGATGATTACATGTTTCTTTTCAGATGAACGCACGTGTGTGTGTTCCGGGTGCACACACATATATATATATATATATATATAAATATGTGTGTGTGTGTGTGCGCACGTGTACACATATGTGTTTGCCACGTGTACACAGACGCGTGTTCACGTGTACGCACTTGTGTGGTCCAATTAGATACGTGTTTGTGTTCCAGGAGAACACGTGTTTGTTATCAGATGAACACTCGGGTGTGTCTGTGTTTTCCGCGTGCACATAAATGTGTGTGTTCACGTGTGCAGTACACATTTATGTGTTTCACACGTGTGCGCATGTGTGTGTTCACGTGTGCACATGTGTGTCTCCCACGTGTACACATGTGTGTGTTCACGTGTGCACACATGTGTGTTCCAATTGGACACGTGTTTGTGTTCCAGGTGAACACATGATTGTTTTCAGATGAACACTCATGTGTGTGTGTTCCGGGTGCACATACATGTGTGTGTTCACGTGTACGCAAATGTGTGTTCCACATGTGCACATATGTGTGTTCACGTGTGCACACATGTGTGTTCCAATTGGACTTGCGTTCGGGGAGAACACATGTTTGCTATCAGATGAACACGTGCGTGCGTCTGCTCCGCGTGCACATGTGTGTGTGTTGACGTGTGCACATATGCGTGTTCACGTGTACACATGTGTGTGTTCCACGTGTACGCACATGTGTGTTCCAATTGGACACGTGCTAGATGTGTGATCCACGTGAACACATTAGTATGTTCTAGGTGAACTTTTTTTGGCATCTGACGACATATTTGCTGTCGAGGTGTGCACATGGATGTGCTTTCAGAAAACGCATGGTTGTTTTCGAGGTGCGCTTTAGGTGAGCATGTATGTTCGCTCACGTGTGCACATATGTGTGTTCCACGTGTACACACACGTGCGCTTTTATTGCACACGCTCGGTGTTCCTGAATATTTGTGGTCCAGTGGTATACATATTTGTTTCCCACGTGTACACATGTGTGCTTTAATTGCACGTGAGTGTGTTCCAGGTGAACACATGTGTGTTCCACGTGTACACACATGTGTGTTCTGAATTGGACACGCGTTTCATTGTGTTCCAAGTGAACACACATGTGCGTTCCACGTGAACACATTTGCGTGTCGTAGGTGAACACATATGTGTGTTCCCTGTGTACACATGTGTGTGTGTGCTTTCCAAGAAGCACATGTTTGTTTTCCAGCTCAACACATTTATGCGTGTGCCGCAGGTGAATGTACTTTGGTGCATTTTGCTTGTATGTTAGAACTTTAACTTTTTGCCAACTAGTGGGTTTTCCATTCAAGTGTATATGTGTGTGTTCACGGGTGCACATCTGCGCGTGCCGTGTGTACTGTTTCAGTCGTATACATATGTGTCACATGTGTGTCTGAGTTGGACATGTGTGTCTGAACTGCCCATGTGACCGCGCACTTGCGCAACCGCACTTGCGTTCAAAGGCGCGCGCACTCGCCCGTTATCGCACGCGCTTGCCAAACCTCAGTTCTGGCGCGGTGCTGGAGCGCGAAGCACGCCAGCAACACACGTGCAGCAACGCAACGCGTGCCAGGTTCACGACTGCATCATCTTGATTC